TTSWGMAATTTCATTGGTACATTAGAGTGAAGTCATTTCCATAATTRTCCAAACAAACTCCTTATGGCAACAGCACAACACTCGGCATAAACCTGACTTTGTGAGTGACAGGTACACCAGAATCTAATTTTCAGTGCTCAGAATTATATGCTTTCAGGAGTGCAGTCTTCTTCTCTCCTTCAGAAACAGAAGCGGGAATTGGTACAGGGAAGAAAGAAGTGCTCCACTTTGAAAGAGAAATTCATTCCCTTGGAGTGCACAGAAGGACAATAGGGCCATTCAAGAACTATACAAAAATATCGACAGCAAGAGCAAGCAGTATCTTTTCAGAATAAGAATTGTCTTGCTTCTACCCACTGAAAGCTCATTGTTTCAGATACAYTGAATTGTGCTAGGCTTTCTGGCAAAGGAAAAAAGTTTAAGATTCAAAAATGCAGACAGAAAGATGAGGGTTGGGTTGTTTGGGGATTTTTTTCAAGTTAAATATAGATATGACTTAAATGTCCATATTTATACTTATCTTCATGTATTTGAAGAAAAGTTGAAAAATTACTTGACAATAACAGCTTTAAAAAAACCCAAATGAAATTCTTTATAGATATAATAATAGATCAAAAGTATTCACCAAACAGCACAGTTAACTGAAGGCTAAAAATACTAAGATGAGTAGAGGCTTTCTGATTACCTGTTGCTCCTTCCTGAATGGTGAATGATTATAATGTGTGAGCATTGCTGTTATTATCACCCTGTCTGAAAAAGACATAACCTATAAAAACCTGTCATCTATATATAAACCATGAAATTATTTAACTTTTTTTTAAACATAGTTTTAACACATATCTATAAAGTGCCTCTCAGTGTACAAAACTGCCTTCTCTAYTATGCATTATCTTTTCAGATGCAAAAGCTGTCCCATGACAGGCTCTACTAAAATTTCTTCAATTTTATTTTGGATGAAATTCAAAGAGATTCAAAATTAGTCTCATACCTTTTCTAATATACCACCATCAGTCTTTGGATGCACTATCTTTCACAGATCCAACATTTGTTCCCCAATATGTAAAGCTGATTTAAAAAACTCCTTGCATCAGGAAAACATCTGAGAGAAACASAACTAAAAAAAATTGAACCACAATTCTAACTTTACCCATATTCCTTACATAAAAATAATTGAAAATAAAAGGTTAACTAACTACTACTTCCATATTAGAAATATCACTCCATATTAGTATTTTTCTCTTTTTTTTTTTTTTTTTTTTTTTTTTTTTTTTTTGGAGGACCAAGAGGATAACAGCAACACCAGAGAAGAAGGAAAATTGCTGCCACCATGAATTCAAGAGATGATGTTTCCACATGCACATACATGCACACAAGTATATACCTTCACATATAAATATATATTTGTAGCTTATCTTGAGGTAAAAAACCACAGAAGTACCTAATTCTGAAGTACAGAAATAGCASTGGTATATGCTGAGAACACAGTATTTTGGAAATTGCTACTTCAACTGAGTATTCTCACTGAACATCRGTTTCCTTCCTGTGAATTATGAGATCATGGTGCATTTGGGTTTTTTTGTCTTTGGCTGTCAGATCTTGAGRAYATGCAATATTTAAGCRTGTGTATGCACACGCACAGATACAWATATACATAAATAAATATATACACATTTATATAATAAAGCTCCAGTAGTGGTAAGAGGTAACAGATTATAAATCAAGAACATTATATTACATATAAAGCGATATTTACATACACAATGTGTATGTGCATATGTGTTAGTTTATAAATGTGTACTTTATTTTTCCTTTTTAACAGCATATTTTTTTACATCATTGTAATACTGATTTATAAAAAGACAATTTATATTT